TAATAATCATAATAATAATAATAATAATAATAATAATAATAAAAATAATAATAATAATAATAATAATAATAATAATAATAATAATAATAATAATTCAACATTTCCAAAGTTGATAATATACCACGTGCCGATGAGAGCAACATGGCGTCTTGTTATGTTTTTATTTTTTACTTTTTATGTGAAATGTTGTTTTTAATCAGAGGTATTTATGTGACTTTAACAAACAGCGATTGATCCAAAAGAATTAAGTGACTCTTTGCAATTGAAGTCAATATCGTAGACGGAATTTTAGAAAGCAAGTTGGCATGTTGCTAATGTTGGTCATAAAATTGTCTGAAATATAGAAACCATAAATTGAAAAATATAAATTTATTTGAAACATGTAAAATATACTAAAATTCAATGCAAAACAAGTTGAAAAAACTCTCGTGTATCTCGCAAAATTAGCCTTATATGAAAGTGTTGCTGACTAGTGAAAGATTGTAAGCCAGTGAAAAATGAGCTAAATGTTGTTTTTACTTTTTTCTTTTTGTAATCATTCCATTTATTTGAGTGCCATGGACAACCAAATAATTGTTTAAAGCTATTGTTTGAATTCTGCCGTTTGCTCAGTCAATCAGCCGTAACAGCTAGCCTAACACGTACACGTGTTTTCAGCTTGGTTTTGCACTTTGCTAAAGATGAAGAAGCTTTTAACCATAAAACTGTCAGTGACATTTTTTCTGTTTAATGACTTCAATATTGTAGAAACATGCAGGTATTTCTAATCGACTTAAATATTAAAAACTGCTTCTGGCTATTTTTTTGGCCAATGAAGTGATATTCGTGTCATAATTATGTGAAATTGCTCTTCAGGCTCAAAATTGATTTGCCACTCAAAATGAAGAATTTTAAAACCTTTTTATCACAAATATTATATAATTAGCAATTTTTGGACAAAAAAATGCAGCAACTTTTTGTTTGCTTTGATCGTAAAGTTGCGGTGGATTGTCCACGTACTCGACAAGCGTTTGTGACTTTAGTTCCGCGATCATTCCACGTGCTACAAAAAGGATATGGAGTATCTCGAAGAACAATATGCACTACAATCATATTTTCGCTTAAGTGCAAGGTTTTATTTGATTTAGATTTTGCTCACGCAATATTTTTTCTCATATACCCGAGGTAAATGCCTGTGCGGAATTAGTACCCTCAACTACACGCTTTGCTCATGCGCTGGGTGACTAGTATTAACGTCGTTTTCAATATTTAATATGAAGAAAGTTGGGAGAATTATCCAAAAACTATTTCCAGAATGATATTGTCTCACCAATGTCCTATTTATTCTGTTGTTGGGATTTCATCTTTAACAAATATCCAAACATCTTCTTTTATTACAGGTTGTTTCATTTTGAGCTTGTTATTCGTGAGTTTTGGATTCGCAGGTAAAAATAGTTTCTGGAGTAATTAATTGACGGAAATTTTGGTTTTTGAACCTTTTCTATATATCCATGCCTTTTAGAATATGCGCACCCGTTTGTGAATGAGAGTGATAGTAGTGCATTATATATATGTGAAAGATCACCTCTGCGAGAAAAGTTGGTTCTTACAACATGCATGCAGATGCAAGATTATAGTTCCGCCTTAGTCACAAGTCAGATGAGTGTTTGCAGTTTGATTGTTCTCTACTGGGTCTTTTTATTATCAATACTAACCAACTTTAGCTTCTATTTATAGTCCAGTAATTAACTATTAAATTAAGCAACCGGATACGGGTTTGTCTACGAACGATAGTCAATTCGAAGCTGCGTTGACTGTTTCATTATGCATTCCTATTCAAAGTACAAACTGGAACCCTAATTGGAAAAATGTTAATAAAATTTATGAACATGCAGGTGCCTTTGAATCATTTCATTCAACGTTCGCATCCTTTGGTTGCGGCTTTTCCGCTCACTCTTTGAAAAACAACCCAGCGAAACGTATTTTTGAAAATATACGACTCAAGTGCTTTGAAAATGTTTAAAACAGGTCGTATTACAGTCATGATTTCAAGGAAAAGTAAAAGGGAAGTTTGATAATAACAAGTGGATGAAACAAGACTTAGAAGTGGATGAAACAGGTGGATGAAACAGGCCTTAGAAGCCAAACTCACTGTAGATGTGATATATTGCGTATGCGCTTTGGGGGTTAAAGGAACATGTGCGAGAGCGATAAAAGAAAAAGGTTGTTATTCAGTTTTCTAAGGACATTAAAAGTTGAGTTTGAGTTGTATAACAGTGCATTTCTGAGGATATAACAATTGGCGACGAGCATGGGATTTCAATAAAGGATTCTGGTATATTTTTTTGCTGAACAAACGAGTTTAAAACAGTAATTTAGTGGAATTTAGTTCTGTACGAGCACAATTTAATAGTATGTCTTCGAAGCCATTATTCGGCGTTCTGGGGGAATTTGATCCGTCTACCGAGTTGTTTACTGCATATTCGGAGAGATTAGAGCAATATTGTATCGCTAATTCTATCGGGCAATGTCCTACTGATCCTTCACAGGAAATACTTGCGGCTGCAGACAAGAAAAAATCGCGGTATTTATTTCAGTTTTTGGAAAGAAATCTTACGCAACCCTTCGTGATTTGTGCAGTCCTGATTCACCGAAAGATAAAAGTTTTTCTGAGCTTTGTGAAATGTTACGTACTCATTACAAACCGAAACGTTTGGTTGTAGCTGATACTTATAGATTTCATCGGTGTATTCAAGAAGGAAATGAAAATGTTTCTGATTACAGTGCACGTTTGCGACATTATGCTTCCACTTGTGATTTGGGTCAGTTCTTAAACCGTTCTCTGCGTGATCAATTTATATGCTGAATTCGTAATTCAGCTACTTGGAAAAAGTTACTGAATGAAGTCCGTACTTTTCAAGATGTGTTAAAAGTGGCCATAGCTGATGAAGTTGCTAGTAAGGAGACTTTAGCATTTCAAAACAATGCGAAACCAGTGAACGAATCTGTGCATGCTGTGGGTAGAAATCAAATTCCTGATAAGTTTTCAAATAGCAGGAATACATCAAATTCCAATAACCTAAGACCACCATTGCCTACCGCCCAGAAATTTTCATATGCCTGTTATTCCTGTGGAGGTACTGAACATTCTCGGGCCCAGTGTAGATTTAGAAATGTTGTATGCAGCCGGTGTAAGCGGACTGGCCACATTGCTCGTGTTTGCAGGAGAGGTAGCATGCAAAATAACTTTGTCGAACAGAAACTGAGTTCAGATGATGTGTTTCTTGAGGAAAAATTATTTACGGTTTTTGATGTTAACTCCCTATACAAATCAGAAATTTCCGTACCCTTGAAAATTGAGAATCAAGAGTGTTCCTTACAATTAGATACTGGTTGTGCATTGTCCTTGGCCCCCCAAACCTTCTATGAGCAATTTTGTTCCCATATCCCTTTAAAACCTACCGCAGTGAGATTATCTACCTATACCGGTGAAAAGATTCAACCTTTGGGACAAATCAATCTTAATGTTACTTATGCTGGAACTCAGCACTCTCTTCCATTACTGGTAGTACCACAGGGCTCTGGTATCTTATTTGAAAGAAACTGGCTAAGGTGTATAAAACTAGATTGGAACAATTTGCCTGGAATTGAGTTACCATCATTTACTACCACGGCTACATGCTCCAAGATTTCAGAAAATAAGAATATTTTGGACTCACTCCTATCAAAATATGATGAACTGTTTCAACCTCAACTTGGGTGTTACACTGGTGATGCTGTAGTTCTCAATGAAAGTAAGGGAGCTAAATTCCATAAAGCACGTCCAGTTCCGTATGCAATACAGACAAGAGTTGAAAGTGCTCTACTAAAAATGGAAAAAGATGGTGTCATTGAGAGGATTTCTTCTGCTGTTAGTGCTGCCCCTATTGTTACGGTGGGCAAAAAGGACGGTGATGAAGTTTGAATTTGTGGTGATTTCAGTGTTACTTATAATGCATGTGCTGAAGTTGAGACTTATCCAATGCCTAAAATAGAAGATATGCATTCTGCATTGAGGGACTGTCAAGTATTCAGTGTATTAGACCTGAAGCAAGCTTATCATCAAATTCCCATTTCAACTGAGTCCATTCCAAAGGATGCTACGGCTCTAGGACTTATGATGCTTTACCCACGATTTATGCCACACCATTCCACTGTATTAGTACTGCTGAATAATCTGCTTAAGAAGAATGTACCTCGGAAGTGGACTAAATCAGAAGACGCAGCTTTCACAGCAGCTAAAAATCTTTTACTAAATTCGAGAACACTAGTACATTATAATGAATCATTGCCTCTTGTTCTCTCATGCGATGTTTCTTCTTATGGTGCAGGAGCGGTATTGTCACATGTCATTAATGGGAAACACCAACCGATAGCATTTGCATCATGTACATTAACTGAGGCCCAACGAAATTATTCACAGCTTGAGAAGGAAGCTTTCAGCATAATATTTAGACTTAAACGATTTCATCAATATCTCTGTGGTAATTCATTTACTATCCTAACTGATCATCGCCCACTCCTTACATTGTTGGGACCACATTGTTCTGTTCCAGCCCACACGGCTTCACGACTACAAAGATGGGCACTTATCCTAGCCTCATACCATTACAAGATTGAGTACCGAAGTACAACTACACATGCTGACGCTGACAGCATGTCCCGTCTACCTTTACCACAAACTTGGTGCCCTAAAAGTGAAAATGTAGAATGTTATTTCTTTGAAGCTGGTGTTGTTACTAATGTAACTGCTGAAATGATTAAGAAAAAGACACAAGTGGATCCTGTTCTTTCTTTAGTATATAGATACATACAAAGTAGTTGGCCCTCTGTAGTTGATGCTGATATGATTCCGTACAAAAACAGAAGTGATCAACTAACTATTCATCAAGGATGCATCCTTTGGGGAGCTCGGGTTGTTGTTCCTCCATCTCTTCGAAGTGAAATGCTAACCGAATTACATGACACCCATCCGGGCATGACAAGAATGAAAGGGCTTGCGATGTCTTATGTCTGGTGGCCAAAGATTGATTCTGACATTGAACAGACTGTGTCCACTTGTCCTGTTTGCCAGAAAATGCGATCAGAGCCAGCAAAAGCGCCAGTACATCCCTGGACTTTTCCATCACAACCTTGGTCTCGCATTCATATCGACTTTGCTGGGCCTATTGCTGGGAAAATGTATCTGGTGGTAGTTGACGCTTACAGTAAGTTTCCGGAAGTTGTTAAAATGACTACTACAACAGCTACGACTACTATAAATGCACTGCGAGATATCTTTAGCCGCCATGGTCTTCCGGAAATATTAGTTTCCAATAACGGACCGCAATTCATTGCCGGCGAGTTTCAACAGTTCTGCCGTAACAACGGAATTATGCATCGAACTTCTGCAGCCTACAAACCTTCAACGAACGGTCAAGCTGAACGAGTTGTTCAAATTTTGAAATCGGCGATTGAGCAAGCTCGAATTACTAAACAGGATGTGAACGTGGTTATTGCTAAGAGCTTACTAGTGTATCGTAATGCACCACATTCTACAACGGGTGCGGCACCTTCAGTTTTACTTATGGGCAGACGTCTGCGAACCCGACTTGATCTAGTCTTTCCTTCCGTTCAGGAACATGTGAAGCAAAAGCAATATAAAGTCCTTGAACGTTCTGCGAATTTAAACGTGCGATCCTTTGTTGAAGGGGAAAATGTCTTAGCACGTAATTATCAAGGGAAAGAGAAATGGATTCCTGGAGTGGTCACTAAAGTTCTTGGTTCAAGGCACTACATGGTTAGAGTACCTGGATATCTGTGGAAACGACATGTAGATCAGTTAGTCAAATACAATCCGCAGATTGAACCAGAAAATGATTGGGATGAAGTTGAGATCTCTCCGGAAAAGAGTGGGACACCGGAAGCAGAACAATTATCTGAAAATTCGAACAGATATGGAAACACCTCGGGTACTAGTAGCAATGATTCTGTAGAAAAGAATGATAATCAAAACTCTGTTACTGATAATTCAAGTGCGAAAAACACAGGTTCCGCTGAAAGACGTTATCCGTTAAGAGCTAATCGAGGAAGAACAGATCATTAACTTTACACTCTGTTTCAAATTACGCGACTCCTGAAAATATCACTCTTACTTCAAATGTCAGTTTTACTTCAAATGTCAGTTTTGTCACGAAAACTGCTAAAACTAGAAGTTACTATCGCAAGGGAAGTGCTGCCTTACGACCAAAGCCTGGGGATTGATTATACCAATAAACTTCATTTATTTAAATTGCCTTATACACACTGTATGTATGAATTTATTTTGTTTCAAAAATATTCAAAGTACAACATGCAATAATTACTATATACTGTAAAGTGTACTTTGGATTGTCATATCTACATGTATGCACGTGATTGTTGGTACCAATGTTTTAAATCATCTTCACTTGTCAGAACGTCTGGAAGAACACAATTAGGAATATACACAATATGTCTTTTAACGTGATATGACTAGTTTTTGCAAGTTTTCATATTCTTTCCAAGGTAATGATAGTCTTCTGTCCACTGTATTTTCCATTTGGTAAACAAGTTTATTACTGTTTTTTTTGTCCAATATATAAATGTTTCGTATTTATTTAGCATGTACAGGTAGTGTCCATTGTTGGCCATCATTATTGTCCAATAACTTGTTAGGTTACTGTACATATAAAGGTATGTAATATCTTGACATACAATGTTCGTGTCGCATCCATATGGTAGATAGGAAACAAGTACAGCAAAAACTATTACATGGCAGATTCCATCCCATTGCATTAGATGTATATATCCATACCATCTTGTAAATCAGCATTCTTGTTTTAATAGAAATACATTTCTGTTAATCCAGAAGCTCCCATCCATTTTCATGCGATGTAATACATGTATATTAATATTATATTTTGACTTTAACAACCATTTGGTCTCATCCAGCAGTTAACATGGCACCATTCACATCCATTAGAATTGCAAAACTATAGAAAAAATAATTGCCAGCATGAGATATTTACTTAGAAACACGGTAGCACATAAATGAATGAAAATAAAAGTAGGGCAGAGGAGGCCGCGGGGTTAAACAAACAAAAAACTTACCATTCTTTCAACTTGCAAATCATATTTTCATACATACAGTGATAACAAGGAGTAAATTAGTTATTATATAATAAATTAAATTAAAAGGGTATATAGTCAAACTACATACCAAAATATAACTGGGATCCATATACGGTTATGAAATTCCTCTCTTATTCAAACTCAATAGTTTGTTGTTCTAAAGGCACTGCTAGTAGCCTGTGCTAACTGATTTAGCCTGTTTTCTTCGTCAAGCCTATATTGTAAGTTAGCTGATGATTTCAAGCCTGTTAATCGTTCATACGTCATTGGTTCATTGACACAAGAGGCAAGTGATTTTACTCTGCTAATAGCAACATAAGAAACTCCAGCAGTTCTTTCAGATTTGCCAATATCTATA